GTTACAAAAGTTAATAAGAAGCCTGAGCTAATGGGTCAATCAGTTTATGATTAATGTAGACTCTCTGTGTGATTTTCTTTGGGACCTAACGACTGTGGGTACCAGGCAGGACAGAAACCCTCACCAAGCAGGCCCTCATGTTACAAGATAACACAAACTGGGGTCCAAATAATCCAATATTGGGATAATATAGCAGAAGTCAGAGGCCTCAAACTATACCTTCATTTACTTGCAATAAACATTTGCAAGTAAGGATTATGGATTAAAGGGTATACTATGTGACTCAATGTGACACACTACAGCTTCCATGATGAGATTATTTAAAAATTTGTATTTTATACTGGGGGAGGTTGCAAGGGCACAGGGTAGATATGAGGGGATGGGGAGATGAGTGGGATTGGGGTGCATGATGTGAATCCACAAAGCATCAATTAAAGTCTTTCTTAAAAGTCTTCATCCACCTCCAGCTGGGGCTCCATAGAAGAGCAGAAGGAAGAAATTAAAAAAGGAGGCGAGGCAGAGAGGAGAGCCATGTGAAACTCTGGGCACGCAGGCACCAGGGCACATCCCAGGGAGCACACAGACCAGGCCTTCCATCCCTTAGCAGGCCTTCATGGACCCTGAAGACAGGCTAGAAGCTAGCTGTCTCCATGAAAGTATACCCACCCACTGTGTGGGACAAGGAACAGTGGGAGGCTGTGACACATGGTGACACCTGACACATGCTTTGGGTACCAGGAGACTGAGATCATCACCCGGGGCATTTCAAACTGTGGGATGGAAGAGTGCTGGAGTCCCAGAGACAGACTGGACAGGGAAGAATGGGAGGGGAGCCACACCGAGAGTCAGAGAGGGAAGACTGATGTGACAAGCTGTCATTGCTTCCTGGTGCAGAGCTAGGATAATCCTTCTGAAAGGTTAGAAGGGATGTGATGGGTCCAAGTTTGCCACAAAGCTGCCTGCCTGGGACCACGATCAAGGCCCTGTGTTTTCCTAAGCCCGTGTATACTTAGCCTTGGGAGATCATCAGCCCTGCTGTCACTGTCTGTTGCCTGAACAGAAGAGGATTAACTGCCTCCCAGGAGCACACATGTCCTGCAAGCACAGACATTCTAGTCACCTAGTATGGGCTCGGCTTTCAGCTCTGGGCCTCTTGTAAAACCATTCTTGCCCAGGCTGGCTGAGGACCAGTCACATGTTCTGGAAGACTCCAGTATGTTGATGATCCCATGTGTCTATGTGTAGAGACACATGTAAACACATAGAAGCATGTAGGGGAAGCGAGGCTCCTGTTGGAGAGGGTGGGAAAGGAACTGCAAAGCTACCATAGCCACGGAGCCAAAAATGGTCATGGGAAGATGGCTCAGCAGCTTAGAGCACATGTTGTTCTTTCAGAGGACTCGAGTTCCATTCCCAACACCCGTGCTGGGTAGCTTATCACCACCTGTAACTCTAGAGGATCCATCAGCACCTGCATGTGTGTGTGTGCATACACATGCACAAACAAACACAATTTTTTTGAAATGGAAGTATCTATCTGCTTCACAGTCCTGGTTTGGCTTCTGGGTCTACAACACAGGGAACTGCTCACCTGGCCTGAAGCACAAATAATAAAAACTCAGGGTCAGAAATTTGGGTTCAACCCAAACATCTGAAAAGCACAACAGCCAGCCACTGGCTCTAACCTCGACCTCAGTCTGAAATGGGGATCCTGCCTCCTGGAATCTCAGAAGGAAACTGCATGTCTGAGACCTGTTTCCTCCCACTTTATAATCCTCTCTAGGGCTGGGATTAAAGGCATTCACCACTGTCATTAAAGGTATACACCGCCCAGTTTCTATGGCAACTAGTGTGGCTACTGGGATTAAAGGTGTATGTCATTATGGGCTATTGAGATTAAAGGTGTGTGTTACCATAATCTGGCCTGTAGGGCTGACCAGTGGGACTGTTTTACTCTCGATTTTCAGTCTTTATTTGTTAAAATACAATTAAAATCCACTACACCGGCCCATGAGGAACAAGGACAGGGATGCTGACATAGATGGCTGGGTGAGCGTATGGGTGGAGACTACATAGGAATTCCTCAGAGTAAGTAGTGTGGGGGTGAGGAGACATGTATAGGAGGCTGGTAGCATGCAGACGGTCTTCACATGGCTCTGCAGGGGGATCTAAAAGGCAGTGTGGTCCTCTCTGTCTTAGTCAGGGTTTCTACTGCTGCGACAAAACACCAAGATCAAAAAGCAAGTTGGGGAGGAAAGGGTTTATTTGGCTTACACTTCAGCATTATAGTCCATCACTGAAGGAAGCCAGGATGCTAAATCAAACAGGGCAGGATCCCAGAGGAGGAGCTGATACAGAGGCCATGGAGAGGAGCTGCTTACTGGCTTGCTTCTCATGGCTTGCTCAGTGTACCTTCTTATAGAACCCAGGACCAACAGCCCAGGGCTGGCACCACCCACCATGGGCTGAGCCCTCCCCTCGTTGATTATTAATTGAGAGAACACCTTAGAGCTGGATCTCATGGAGGCATTGCCTCAACTGAGGCTCCGTCCTCTCTGACGACTCTAGCTTGTGTCACGTTGACACACCCAGCCAGTCAGTACAACCTCCTTATTAAAAGATTGCTTCTGAATTGAAGCATTCCTTCCTGGGGCAATGGGGGGGGGAAGGGGGGACTCTGGACTCTGGGGACTGGGAGAATAAACAAACCTTACAAGCCTGGAGAGTTGAAACTTCCAGAGTCCCGTGATATGGAGGCAGCGAACCGTCCCTCCCTCGGGAGGAAAGATGCAGAGCTGCCTGGAGGAGAGCCTCCCTTGTGTCTCCAGAAACTCCCGGGGTGGTAGCAGTTGTGACATTCTCCCTCAGGTGGGGTGGGCTTTGTAGAGATCCACAAGCTCCTGGTAACTACCCCCTCACCCACACTCATATAAATAACTGATAAACTCACCAGTTCACCAAGCTGGACTTGGGTGGAATTGTTACTTGAGTCATTGGCCGCCTATCTGGAGTGGATAGACAATTGTCTCTTATCTCTCCAGGAACAGTCTCAAAGTGGGAGAGAGTTATTTCAATTGAAGCCGCAGACACCATGTCAGAGTGCCCCTTAGTGAGAACAGAGACATATGGGACACACTGTGGAATAACTGTCTGTTGGGGGGTGGGGGTAGGATACAGAGGTGGGGGGCTGGTAAAAAGGAAGAAGGCAGGGAATTCCTTCAGGGAGCAGAAGTGGCTTTGGGGCATGAACTGGTGTTGGAAACTCGCTTCCCCAGGGCCTGCTACCATTATGGTCTCACATAGGCTGCTGCCCTATGGGCAGCCCAGACATGTGGGGTCCAGGGAAGGTTTGGGGTAAACGCTACCCTTCAGGAGGGAGGCTGAGAGGAGCAGTTGGCCTGGTATATGGGGCCTCTAGCAAGGTGGCCATGCAGTGGCAGGTACCTTCCCCTAGGACAGGGTTAGAGACACTCTGGGTTCTGAGAGCACCCCATCCCTTCACAGCAGGTGCCAGGCACACTCCCCAGCAGTGACTGGGATGCTTCATTTGTCCTCCTGGCAGCTCCTTCTGGTCTCCTAAGCTGGAACTGAAGCCACCATGGAAGGCACATCTGTCTATAAAGAAGTGGTGCCTGGGAGGCCCATTGGCAGCTGGATGCAGAAGCCTAGAGCTAAGACAAAAATCTTAGTTGGCACAGCTGTCAGGAGAGTGAAAGCAGGGGAGCTGAGGCCGTTGGAGGATAATTAATACTTTTGTGATTGTAAACAGCCCTCCATGGTTTGCCTACACCACCTTGCCTGCCCACAAGAAGGATGGAGGCGTACCTCACCCACCCTTGTGTGTTTCAGTTGTCCGTGTGGTGAATGGGGAGTGGGTGGGGAAGGCCTGCGTTGCATGTGTGAACCCGCAGGTGTGTTAAACACGGCTGCTCCACACGTGGCTGGGGCAGAGGCGCTCCTTAGACACCCTTTGTTTTCACACAGGAAGAAATCGAGGCGAGGGTAGAGTTATCTATTACCTAACAAGTTACCCATGAGCTGAGGCAGCCATTGACCTTGTGGGCGTCTGCAGAGTGATGCAAATAACTCAGGTGGTTCCCCTGCGAGCAGCTGGCCTCCTGCAGCACATGTGATCACCCCAACAGCTGGAGTTTATTTGTGAAAAAACATTTAAGTAAAACCTACCAGACTCTCCTTGCACCTGTGGTACTTCACGCTAGCAAATCCCGAGACATCTTTCCTCCTGTCAACACCCTTTGCCAGACTTCTGAGCCCTGGGTTTCGAAACAGGGATGGGGGGACCTTGTTTACCCAAGGTAGCCCAGGTAGTGAGGGCAACTGTAGATTCAGACAGCCAGGCCTCCACAGGTGGCACTGTCTCCAATGTACCACCCTGCCCACCTCTAGATCCAGTTAGACTTCCCGACTAGCTATTGCTGAAATGGGAGGAGGCTTGAGCAAGGACCTGCTAACCCACGGTACGCTTCAGGTTGGGTACCACTGAGCCAACTGCTCAGTTATGGGGATGCTGCAGTCCGTTTGACTTGACACACATACAAGAGTGAATCTCATCAATAAGCCTGCAAGCTTTCCTGATGCTGTCAGCACATGGAGGGTGTGGACTTCGTGTGTGTACAAGGCTAGCGCTGCTATTATTAGATTAGTTTTCTGTAGAGAAGGGAGGCAGCCATGGGAGAGGTGAGGACCAGAGCCTACTTTGCCTAGTCTGTTCTACGGGAGACATCAGTCGTGGCCAGCCATGAGCTGAAAATACAGACAGGATGATACTCAGTAGTGACTGTAGAGGAGCGTGGTTAAGAACGTATTATCACACTGGTGAGGTGGCTCAGCGGGGGACTTGCCTCCAAGCCTGACAAGCCGAGTTTCATCCTTGGAATACACAGGGTAAAGGCAGGAACTAACTCCTACAAGTCCTCTGTCCTCCCCATGCACAGCACAATCGGTGCATAAACACATGCATATTAAATAAGTGAACATAATTACAATGTTTAAATGTGTAACATTTATTATACATTTTATAAAATTAATAAGCGCAAAAATAAAGTAATTAATATAAGTAAAGGTAAAGTTTGCTATATTCATAAATACCATCTGGACTTCCACTTCACTTACATGTACAGATATGCACTAGACAGGGAAGGTTCTATGAAATAAAGGAAGCACAGCATTTTAATTATGTATGCACAACACAAATCCTACCAGGACCCCAATCTGAAGCTGATTCCAACATCTGTCAAAGCCATTTGTGGCAAGCAAAGAGCCCACAGTGGCTTTTGTCAGTCAGGCTGGGTTTCCTATTGTCTATGGCTACATTCACAAGAGGCATTAGGTCAAAACCACTGGTGACAGGGGAGGGGGTCGTCCTGAGGATGATCTCAAAAGTAAGTCGGGGGCTGGTGCAATGAGTATGTGTGGTAGTTTGAATGTAATGGGCCCCCACAATCTCAGGGAGTGACACTACTATGAGGTGTTCCTTGTTGATGGAAATGTGTTACTGTGGGGTGGGCTTTGAGATTTCCTACGCTTAGGCTACCACCCAGTGTCTCAGTTGATTTTCTGCTGCCTTCTGAAGATGTAGGCAGCACCATGTCTGCCTGCACACCACCATGCTCCCCACCATGCTCCCCACCATGCACACCACCATGCTCCCCACCATGGTAATAATAAACCTCTGAAACTGTAAGCCAGCCCCAATTAAATATTTTCCTGATAAGAGCTGCTGTGATTTTGGTGTCTCTTACAGCAACAGAAACCCTAAGACAGTATGTTAATGTGGAGAGAGGGAACTGATTCCACAAAGTTACAAAGTTGTCCTTTGTGCTCCCCACAATCACACACACACACACACACACACACACAGAGAGTGAGTGGGGGGATGCTGTTGTGCTCTGAGTACCTGGCTTACTGTTTTTCTTGCAACAACAGAAGACACTTACAGTTTTAGAAACACTTTAATTCTTGATGAAAACTTCTGCTGTCATTGTGAGTTAAGAAGAACCCCCTGGCCTTAAATCCCTCACCCCTCACTGAGATAACTGTTTTGCTAATGTGTTTAAAGCATGGTCTTGAGGAGCTGAACCGAATAAAATACAGAATAGGCTTGCTCTTGAATCTCCCTCTTTTCACACATACATATGGACTTCATGTATGCACCTGCTTATACACAAATACATATACACACATATGTAATTTAAAAAATAAAAGGATAACACATATAATCTTGGATTTTGTATTCTTTACTCACTAGTGTAAGCATTTTCTGGTACATTAAATATTCCTTAAAATGATGTTTAATATATCCCATTATATGGTTTTTGTATAATAAAAAGCTGCAGTAGACAACACAGCATAGGACTCTGCCCATACCTCTGTTTTCATACATAAGCTTTAGAACGGGAATGAACTTGTTGAGGTTTTCATGAATATTACTTAGAGCACATATAAATCCTCAAGACGATGCCCAGCACACGGCAGGCATCTAATAATCAGAAGCTATAAATAGGAAATCAAGTAGCCAGGAGAACAGACAAATTGGGCTCCAGCAGAGGGCTAGTGAAGGAATGTGTGCCACCTCACCAGGCATGAATACAGCGGGGAGGTCTGGGCTCAGGGAGGGGTCGTTTTGTCCCCAGCAGCAGCCGGATCTCCAATAGCTGGAACAAAATGGCTCTTTACTTAGAGCCAAACACAGCAAAGCCACCTCACGGCCATCCCCAGGCGGGCCTTCCTTCCTTCCTGTTAGTCCTTTTAGGCCCTCTGATTGATATTGATTCCAGTCTTTATTCAGAGCCCCAGGCCCCTGGAAACTCTGATCAGAGGACAAACAACACGAACAAGTGTTCTCAAAGATTAGTTATTAGCTATTCTCACTTGGGGTGAAAGAAAATTTAAAAGTCAATGGAACAGAAAGAAAATATAACGAGAACCTCACATTTCTTGCCCGAGGACATGAGCTGGACATGTGCACGGCCTGTGGTGGCTGCACGTGGGCAGCTGACTTACAGAGCCACACAAGCACAGATACAGAAAGAGTGCACTCTTCATGTGGGCAGCTGACTTACAGAGCCATCACAAGCACAAATACAGAAATAGTGCACTCTTCTGGGAAGGGGAGGGTCTTCATGTGGGCAGCTGACTTACAGAGCCACACAAGCACAAACACAGAAAGAGTGCACTCTTCTGGGAAGGGGAGGGTCTGGCATGGAGCCACAGGAAAGTATGGGCCTGTCTGTTTTCCACGTCAGAGATCACAGCGAGCCCACAGGCCAGCCTTCTGCAAGCCTACTCACTTGCATTAGTGAACTGTTAGGCTGCTCCCTGGAGGAAATCTCCCTTGTTCAGGCAATTCTAGTGCATGCCTCAGCATGGCCAACCTCTGTTCTTTGATGGTAGATTTGGTTCCTTAGTACAGTCAGGTCACCAGAGCAGGGGATGGATGGGGAATGGGCTCCGGGATACATCGGGGAGATTAGAGCTGTGGATGCTACAATAGGGGTTATTCTGTGTCCCCTAGCTGGCCCAAGCAGCTTCATTTAAAGAGATGCTGCACTTGAAGTCTGCACCAAGCAACATGAACATCGGGAAAGGAGGAGCAAAGCCTCCTGAAAGGATGTGAGACTGTGGCATTCCTTTGGAGGCTGCTGTTAGAGCCCTGACTCACTCACTCAGGGCTCACTGGGGCTACAGCAGCACCGTGTGGTCCTTTTCACAAACAGAAGCCTGTCAGTCTAAAGTAAACACTTATTTGGTCTAGCAAAAGCCAGCTCTTTAAAAGGGGTTTGAGTCCATGTAGACAAGAGAATCTATCCTTCTGTATCTTCAACCACCTACTGGAAGACATCTGTCTGTCCTTCAGGATGCCCTGAAGGGAAACAGCCTGAGCTCCAGCAGGGCTCAGTTAAACTTCTTTGGATGGTCACTGGACAGGGACTGGCCAGCTGGGAGGCCTGCAGCACCTGGATCCCAAGAGCATCCTTCCCCAGGCCCGGGAGCCCCAAGAGCAGAGTGGGCAAGCGGGTGCCTAGTCCTCTGGGATAGGTGTGTTGCAGTTGCCGTGGTAGATCTTGACGTGGCCCTCACAGTGAAAGTACGCCTGGAAGACATCGCTGTAGCCATGGTCCCTCCACCAGGTGCACAACTGCCGGTTCCAGGTGCAGTCCAGCACATGGAAGAGCTCGGGGTGCTCCATGCCAATCATGGTGAAGAAGTCCTGGTCCCCAAGGTGGCCCCGGAAGCGGTACTTGTCTGCAAGCTGCTGTACCCATGCAGGCTCCAGCAGATGGCTGTAGAGTGGAGACTGGCGCATGGCCTCCAGGTTCAGCAGCATCACTCCACTGTTGAAGCCAGGAAGGCCCTCAGGTGGAGGGTCCCCAACTCTGGTCTTGGGGTTCTCATGGCGGAACTGCCAGAATGTGTGCCTGTGAAGCAGAGAAAAAAGAAATCAGTATTATCCCAGTTTGGGGTGAATGCTTCCTGGGTGTTCACATGACCACTTTTCCTTCCGTTTCACAGGGACAAAAGCAGAGGCATTCTGGGGTCCAGCATCTGTATCCCATCACCAGCAGGCAGCATAGCAAGAGCCTGAATCCAGTCCCCACCACGACCTGCTCTAAGTCTCAGGCTCTTCTCATATCCTCCGCAGCCTCAGGATGACATGATGATGATGTCATCCTGTCACTGCCATTATGTCAGGATCTGTAGAGATGGCGGATACTGGATGGCACGCTGAATGGGGCCTGCTCTTCCTCCAAGTGTTATGCTCTGTGAGAAGACCCCTGGCCACACAGCTAGGGAAACAGTGACAGGGAGATGGGCTAACTTGCAAAACCACACAGCTAGTAAGAAGCAGAGAATAAAGCTAGGTCTTTGGCTCAAAGTTCACATCCTTCAGACGACAGCAGCGTGGTAGAACCCCCGCCCTGTCATTATGGTGGAGAGGAGAGGACACAAGGGGAAGAGACTCTGAATGATGGTGACGTCAGAGACAGCAAACTGTTCAAGTTTGTTCAAGACTGAACCAAACACGTTTTCCGCTTTAGAGTAAGTTTCATTCATGACCTAAGCCTAGCATTTCTGAGGGGCTGAGTAGAACTGGGGTCCAGAGACGATAGCTCAAGGGATATATCCACAAGTCAGGGTGAAAGTAGCTGTATGGAGCCATGTAGAACTATGGAATTTAGGAGGGGATGCCACCTCAATTTTTGTCTTTCTCTGGCAGATTCAGATAAATGACACTTCTTGGCCTTGTAACCAAATACTTCCATTTGGAGGTGGGAAATCTTCCTGTGATTGACATGTTTAGAGTTCTGGTCACTGTTTTCTAGCCTTTCTAAATTCTTGTGTGCTACAGTGATGGGAGCATGGGGTCCCCAAACTTGTAAGCACAGACAAGACCCAGCAGTAGCACCTGGGATGGGCAGGGCTAGCCTGGGTCCTCAGGATGGGGAATGCATCATGGCCACAGCAGCCTAGAAATGTACCACACTGTTCACAGGATAGGACATGCAAGTTGTTGTCAAAAGCAAACCATAGCCCCGGCATGCAAGACCTGCAGCAGGTCCACTCTCGAGTTCAAACACATGACCCCAGTAAGGGGACAGACAAGCCTTCTTTGTGATCTCGCGTGTCAGAAAGGCAGCCGACAGTTTGATCTGGGGAAGGGAAAAGTATGCCCTTGGGACACCGACCAGTGGAGCACACAGGCTCATTGTTAGCGTCTGGTCAGGAATGGGCTGTGAGGTGAGTGGGAATCTGGCTCTGACCTGGCACCTGCCTGCTGATAACAGCCTTGGAAAGATAGGCTCCGAGAGCAAGCTGAGATGCTGAGGTCCTCCTGGCCACACAGCCTGCCAGGATGGGACCACCAGCACGTCAGCACTTCATCATGTTACCTTACCACCACGTAGTTACTCTCAGGTTACAACCTAGCTACAATTCTGCTAGACAGGCCTGGGTTAGCACAGTGCTCCCAGGTGGAGGAGGGACCCTCCAGGGAGTGAACGCTGCACCATCCTGGTACTGGGTTCCTCTTCCAATAGTGGGGATGGGCATTTAACAAGGAGGAAGAGAGAGAGCTAGAAAGGAGGGAAGAGAGAGCTATGGAGTGCTCACCTCTGCTCCATCCTGCCCACTGCTTCCTTCCCTCCCTTGTAGAAGAGATCAGGGGCTGGCTGGAGGGACAGGATCCTTGGGTACTTCTACCTCATGTAGGCTTCCCAGACGACAGGTCCTTGGGAAGGGTAAAGTGGCCAAGAAAGGCCTACGAAAAAGCTAAGAGTGAGTCTGTGCAGCCTTTGGTGGTGGTGGTGGTGGTGGTGGTAGCAGGGAGCAGGCCAAGGTAAGGCTACTGAATCCCTACCCTGAGCACTACATCCACCATGGATGGTGAGGAATATTTTTATTACTTTTGTTTATACTGCACTTGTTTAACTCTGTGAAGCTGTGATTCTTTGCCTGTCCTAATAAAGACCTGAACAGCCAATAATAGTGAGGCAGGAGCAAGAACAGGCTGGCAGGCAGAGACTATAAACAGAAGAAATCTGGAAGAGAAGAAACAGCAAGAGAACAAGAAGAGCACGTCAGTCAGGGGCTGGGCACTCAGCCAGCCAGAGGAAGAGTGAAAGTATATACAGAAGTAAGAATAGGAAAAGCCCAGGGGCAAAATGTAGTCGGGGATAATTTAAGTTAAGGGAAGCTGGCTAGAAATAAGTCAAGCTAAGGCCAGATATTTCTAACCAAGAATAAGCCTCTGTGTGTGATTTATCTGGGAGCTGGGAGGTGGGCCCTTCAAAAAGACAAAAGAGCAAAAACATCACACAACAGTGGACAAGGGCTCAGATGCATTGAAAGGTCTTTACCCTTCAACAAGGAGTTCACAGCTGGAGGTTGGGGGCTACCCTTGCTTGAGGGCTCCTCAGATCTTCCCTCTCTGTATCAAGAGTAGCCAAAAGGAGGCCTGGCCCCTACCTGGCTAGGCTTGGGAGAGGAGACAGAACATCTCCAGGTGGAAACTCTAACCCAGGTGGCTGCTGGAATGCCATGGCAAGTGCTGTATGTACCAGGCACACACAGACACATTCTGTAACCAAGAGTCAGGACCAGAACATTTTGATGGATCATGTGTAGAGGGAGGCAGAAAACTGGAAACACGAGTGTCCACCTTGTCTGTTGAAGTAGGATCAGCCTGAAGAGGAACTGATGCCCACCGAAGCTCAAAATGACCTGTGTGCCTTGTCAGAGTGCTCCCACTGTCCCAAATGAACCCAGAACCCAGAAGACACTTGGGATTGGCTGGTTTCTCAGGCCTCCATGGCAGCTGCAAGGCTTGAGAGAGAGCATACAAGGTTTGGCAGGTGAGCGCTTACACAGGAGCCGGTGGCGCCAGCTCTCCTCACCTGCCACAAAGGTAGGGTTAGGGGTAGATTGCATGGCCCTCTCACATTCTCCCTAGGACACTGCAGTCTTTGGTAAGCTAGGCAGAGTTTCTGATCTTTGTAGCCCGTTTATCTCTGACTGCCTCAGATTCCACAGGCTAATGTTCCAACGAGCAGCACCTGAATGTCAAACTCATTCCCAAGAAGGATATATAGCACTGCTGTCATGTGACTGGCTCAGGGCGCAGACCTGAGAGCCACTCTGAACCTGGTCCGTATACATCCCCTAACCTGCCCTTTCTTCACAGGGGCTGCGGGCTGGCTTTGTATGTCCACAGATCTCCTGTAGGTATGCAGGTATGTGGCTCAGTCCTGATCTTCCAGAAGTTTCTCAGATCGACTGTCCATTCTCACACCTGTCCACTCTTCTCTGCGTGGCCTCCTTCAATCCCATAATCACCCAGTGCCGTACAGCAGGACAAGGGTCTCTTCTTTGGGAATAGTTTGCAGCTGGGAAACAAGCCTTACACAGATGGTCCACCGGAAACAACAAGTCTGTCCAGAAGACGGTGGAGCCTGCTGGAAAAATACAAATGAGGTCCCTTCAAGCCCTTTCTTCTGGATGGTACATTCCTGGAAGGGGCTGGGTAGAAAAAGCCAAGCCCTTGCATGGGGCACAGGAGGAAAGGAAGCAGGTGGGAGGTACATGCCTGACCTTGTTTGGAGGCCCTTGTCGGAAATGTGGGTTTGGCTGTCAACACCAGCTTGGTTTGCAGGTCAGTAACTGAGTTGACAAACTCCATATTCCCAACATGGGAGACAGCATGGGGCCAGGCAGGGCCCTCAGCTTCTTAGGTTAAGGGCCCCTGGGTATAGGTGGGCCAGTCTTCAGTGTTGGAACCAGGCTGCCTGTCAGGAGAGGAGAGGACTCCAGTGGAACAGAGACCCAGTAGATCCTGCAAGAGGCACACACTTCAGAGGTCCCTGATCCATTCCTGCTGGTGTCCCTGAAGGGATAGCCTCCACTGAGTCTCTCTGGCCAGTATGTTCTGTAGACTCATTGTACCTCTGTGCCTGTGGCCCAGTCTAGAAGCTAAGTTTCCAGGGTCACTTAGCTATTCATAGTAGGATCAAAGAGAGCCTACAAAGGAGGGATGACCTGGAAGTAGGTCTTGGGGAGAAAGCAAGGAAAGGGAGGTGGTTGCTGAGGGAGCAGCTAACGCATACCTCATGAAATGGATCAGAACCACACCATCCCTACAGCAGGGGACAGAGCAGACCACAGGCAGCCTACGAACTGGTGTGGTTTCGAACTCTGCCTCTCTGAGGCCTTCAGCTGGGGAGGGAGGGTCCCACAGGGCACTGGGGTGCTGCTGTTCCAATAGTTTCTAGAAGTGTGTTTCTAGAGACACACTTCGGTCACCACCTACAAAGTGGGCCTTTCACTTTTCCTCCACTTCCTGAGCTCTGATGTGCCTTGACCTGAAGTGATGGAAGGCGGCTGTGACCACTGACTGGAGAGCGAAAACTGAGAATCCAGCAAAATCAGCTGAGAGCTTGTAGGGAGTGGACAGAGCCCTGAGTGACCATCAGTTGCTGACACAGGCACGGCCATGTTGAAGACGCCAGTGCTTCAGCCCCACAGTGGCAAAGTCTTAGCTGGGTGAGGCTCCAGAGCGATGGCAAAGCTTTCCTTGAGAGACCCAGTGTAGATGAGTGACCGGTGTGTGCAAGGCCTGGCCACTAGAGGTTCTTCCTCTTCCTGGATGTTGTCATAGTCTGCCTCTACAGCTAGCCAATCCCCACACCTGTGCTGCACCCAATAAACACTGGGGTTCCAGGCTGCTGGTGGAGTGGCTGTGGCTCCACCAGAGAGCACAGACCCGACCAGATCCCAGTTTTCTTGTATGTGTGTGTTCTTTATTTCCTTGCTGCCCCTAGTCAGGGACTGGGACCCAAGCCTCACAGGATGTGATTAGCAGCAACATGTGTCAGCCCGCAGGGAGATACCCAAAGCCCCCATTCTCACTGAAATACACTGGAGTAACAGAGACTCCTGAGCTGAAGGTAGCAGCTTGGCATCACTTAAAGAACATCTACTGAACCCATGGGAAGTGAGCAGAACATCCCACCCCCAGGTAGAGGCATCCAACAGGAAGAAAACCACCCCTCCTGGCTTAAAGGAGGGCCTGCAGACTAAAACTCTGAGGGCTGGACTCAAAGTCAACTGTGTGGGCCACTGAGCTTCTTAGGGCTTGGTTTGCTGGGCAATGACCTGAGACTTGGGACAGGGATAGAATACTGCTCTCTCATGGGATTCTGGTGGGCTCTGGGAGTAGAGGCGGAACATAGACAGTGCTCACCTTGTGCCCAGGAAGAATGGCCCCGTCTGCCACTGTAGGTGCTCAACTACAGGAAGGCTAACTTTGCAAAAGCCCCTCCCTGCCTGCCTACCTTGCTCAGGATCTGGTAATTCAGCAACCAGCCCTTGTCTACCCAGCAAGCCATCGGGAGGCTTCTGTTTCAGCATGGCTTCGTGTACCAGAGTCTGGCATGCTGAAGGTGACCTACAATGCTGTCTGGTTCCCATGGCTCCACAGACTATGACCAGTCAATCCCCATGGACTACAGAAACAGGTGCCGGGATCCTGGGGATGGACAGCACCCCCACATCAACAGTCCTCAGAGCCCAGAAGAGTGACATCGTCAACATGAGGACTCCTCTCCCAGCTAGGTCCTTGAAGCTCTGGCCATCCCTCGGGAGGTGAAGAGACCCTACCAAGCTTCAGGCTTCACGTCATGGTACCTGGGAGCAGATTCGTCAACCTGTGCCTACCTGCCTGGGCATCATCTCAATCATACGGCTTTTCTCCCACCTCTGCTGTCCTGGAGCCATGCAAACAGTGGGCAGGGTTAGGAAATGTCCATCGCTCCATCCCACAAACACCTATAGAGCACAGATGGGCTGGATTCTGGGAGAGCTGCATGGGGAGGACCTGGAAGAGGGAAGGGCAAGCCAGGTACCACGAGAAGGTGCCAAGAGCAGCAGTGCAGGCTGGAGGGGTGGATATATGAGGAAAAGAGGAACAAAGAAATAGACAAGTGCAGCAGATGGCTGGACATGTGGGTTAAAGGTACCCAGCCGTCTGCAGAGTTCAGCCAGGGGACGGAAGAAGTGGAGTCAGGAAGACGGCTGGCCTAGGAGACCCCAGCCACCTGTTCTCTACACTGAGGCCCAAGCAGCCGACACTAACTCAGGCCTTGGGGCCCTTTCTCTGCTGTAGAGCTCTCAGAGGAGCCACGGGGCCATCCAGACCTTCTAGCTGGGTCAGCAGCCCCCACAGAGCCCACTCTAACCCCGAGATCCAGGTACCCAATCCGGGTGTCTCTGGCCTTCCTCCCACCTCCTCTCCCCACACAGACAAGTCTTTCCCTAGATTTATTTCCCCATGCGATGCCCTTCACACTCAAGCCACTAACATTAGCTCTCATCTGTTTAATTAAAAGAGGTCTATGTTTGCTCACAGTTGTAGAGATGTAAGGTCTCAGGGCTGTTCTTCTGAGTCTGAAATGTTCCTACAAGTCTCATATGCTTGCTTGCACCCTTGGTCTCCAGCTGCTGGGGTTGTTCTGTGAGGCTGTGGGACCTTTAGGGTCTAAGGCCTGGAGAGAAGAAACGGGCTCCTCGGGTGAACCTTGGGGGTCAAGCCTGACACATTTCTGCCCCTGAGTTTTGATTTCTGGTTTGTTGAGAAATGAGCAAGACTCACACTCCTGCTGCCTCAGACAGGGACCTCCCCAGTCAGGACGATTCTGTGTGCCAAGTATGCTGCCACGTCGTCTCCACCACTCAACCGGGAGCCCCAAATCAATCATACTCTGAGTTGCTTCTATGGCAAACTTTGTCCTAATGATGATAAAAGCAGCATGGCCGGTGGCGACAGCTGGCAGAGTCCTGCGGTGGCGCACAGAGTACTTACTGTGTGGCAGGAGACGAGGGGCGCAGGTGTGTGCTAACTGCCCACTCTGCCCGTCATCCAAGCACGCCGATCAGAATAGTATCACACCAAGCGCCTCAGCGCCCGCCTCAGGTAGAGATCAACCTTGCTGCCTCTCTCCCTGGTCCTTCCACAGCTGCCTCCCTACCAACCACAGCCGCCTCCCTACCAACCACAGCCCCACACCTGCAGTCTGGCACTCATCCAGGTGATGAGTGCTCGCTCACCACCACAACCCACATCTATCTTCCCTTCTGCTCGAGCACTAGGGCACCCTCTGCTCCTTCCCTTGCCTTGGCCATTTGAGGTGGGCACAGTACCCTCCATGAACCTTGCCTCTAGTGGCACTCGGCTCCAGCCACTGAAGCAGGTCCCTCTGTGGTGGTGACATCAGTACGTCACGCTTAGCCTCTGGGGCTTTCTGGAACTACCTGTTCACATTTCCTGGGTCAGCAGTCTCCTGGCTCCTTTCCCGTCAAAGCGGACCCCTTGCTGGCCTCTTCAGAGCTGAAAGCTACAGATGGTAAGAACTGGACGCACAGGAGGTGACAGTGACCTTTGGGAGGAGTGAGTACAGGAGACCAAGAAGCAAGACATGCTGGCCTGGAATGGAATGCCAGGGAAGGCAGTTGGCACCTTGTCGTGAAGGTTACAGGGACAGCAGGAAAGCACATGCCAGCTAAGTCAGACTGCAGAGACAATCCTGAAAGGAGGCTGAAGGGGAATGTTTAGTGAGCACAGACTATGTACCAGGCCCTGTGCAAGCATTTAATTGTATCCAGGCTAATATTTAAGTGATTTTCTAGTAAAAAAAAAAAAAACTGAAGTACAAATAGGGGGACCAGGCTCAGAAATTTGCCAGAAGAGGGGAGGAGCCCCAGGGCATATCTAAGACGAGGAAGAGGGGCCAGAGTGAGAGTAGAGTTTGATGACACCAGCTTTCAAGGACCTCCCCCCCCAACACTTGGCCTTGGCTGAGCACTGGCCCTAGCCGAAAGCCTGAATTTAGGCTAAGGGGAGGGATGTTCATCAGGGTGGAGACAGAGCCAGTGTCCCCTTTGGAACTGGCTGGCTCACTGCTCCCAACAGCCCTGCAGCATTGGAGGTCACAGGAGAAAGGACCAGGAACACATGATGGGGCGTTTTCAGGACAATGAGCAGAATGTGGGTGTGCGTGGTAGGAATACGTAGGGGTATGTGTGGAATTTGACTTTGAGTCCCCAGTTAAACTCCACCAGCCACACTAGTACCCTTCACTGAAAGGAGTTCAGATTCAAAAGCCAGAGGGTGCAGGGACTTCCTCACTCAAATGTGAGGGCACAGGTGGCATGGCCTCAGCAAAGCATGGCTTCTTAAGCCAGGAGAATGAGGGTGCCGTTCCCTTCCATCTAAGCAGATCTGCTGTCCCCGCTCACTGCACTACACATCTGTGCATGGGCTACGGTCAAGGTATCAGACAGTGGCAGCACACTGACACAGACCTGAGGACGTCAAGCACAGAGCAAGCTCACTGGGGGGGGGGGGGGGCGCGGGCCCCGCGCCCCCAAAGGACTAGACCCAGAGCCTGCATTCAGAAGCACATTATAGCACAGCCCCCTTCTCAGATGCCCTGTGTGGACATGGGCTCACCTGGACCTCATTAAAATGAAGACTCCCACTCAGAAGCTGCATCTCTGATTAGCTCCCAGGGAATGCTGCTGCTGCTGTCCCAGGGTCACTCAAAAGAAAAAGGAGTTGGTTTTGTTTGTTTCTTGTTATTGTTATTCTTTTAAGATTCATTTATTTTTATGTGTCTGAGGTTTTACCTGCATATATGCCTGCATGCCATTGTGTACAAGAGGGTGTTAGATCCCTGGAACTGAAGTTACAAACGACTGTGAGCCACCACATGGGTGCCGGGATTTGAAACCAAGTTCTCTGGAAGAGCAGCCAGCACTCTTTACCACTGAGCCATCTCTCCAGTCACCCTGGACCCTTTTAAAATTAAAAACATGTATCATTATGTATGTATGTGTGTGAGAACATACATGTGTGTGTTCTGGGGGGATGTGCAGAGGTAAGAGGACAGCTCTGTGTGTGGAGTTTGTTCTCTCCTTCTACCTTCATGTGGTTCCAGGATGGAATTAAGGTTTCCAAGTCTTGTGCTATATGCATTAACAGTTATGCCATCTGACTGGCCCTGGTCAAGTGTGTGTAGTACATACATTACCAGCTGTGCCATCTCACTGGCCCATGTCAAGTTAAAACTGGTTTTCGAGAGATGAAGATTTTAAGAGTAGTATCAACATCGCTTTTTTTTTTAAATGACCATAAAATAAGCAATGTGGCAACCTGAAGTTCTTACGAGTTCTACGCTAACACTTGCTGTGTCCTCTGACTCTGCTACAGTCCTGGGTGGGAGCACCTACTGAGATGATTCCTAAGACCTACACGCTCACGAATATGGAGCAGAGGTGAGAAAGGGCGTTACCACCTCTATCACCAGTGCACGAAGAGGTCAAGAATGCGTGGTTGTAGGGGCAGTCGATCTCAGCTTGGACTTCATTCAAATCCTGGTCCTCTACTTAGTACTCTGGGGAAAGCACTTCATTCTCCATGGCCCTGGCTTCTTGACTATACACAAGGGTGCTGAGAGGATATCATGAGATAATGCAGGGATACAGCTCCACGTGTCCGATGAGATCACAGAAGCACAGGAACACATCAAGTTCACTGAGTGGTATGGCTGCCAAGCCCACACCCCGTCTGCTGTTGTCTGAGCAGGTGTGGGCTCTCATGCACGCCAGTAGGTGACCTTGGCCAAATCGCTGCCTGTCCTGGGACCTCAATTCCCAAAACTGTTCAACAGTCTCATTAGCTGGAGGATCCTTTTGTGTTCTGAGAGCCTTGGTATTAGCCAAGCTTGTAGAGCTTCAAGGGGATGTTGTGGTCACTGAAGCCCAGCAATCATCACTCCCTTCTCTCCATGGATGTGCCACCGAATATTGAGTGTACTGTGGGTTTGGTTACTTGCTTTTGTTTCAAACCTCATTACCACTGTCAGCAAAGCCCCCAACATGTGCAGATTTGGGTACGGTAGTCTCCAATGAAGAGCACCTTACCACATGCTGTGGTCCAGGGGTAGCACACGAGGCAGTCACTGAACAGATACTCCTCTGCCTCACCCTTAGTTTTCTTTCTTAGCATCCACATGTACAGTGTTCAGTAAGTGTGTGTGTATGGGGGGGGTACCTTAGTTTTCTGCCTCCTTCCTTCTCTTACAGGTGATTTTGTGAGGTAACTTACCTACCTTACCTCCCTCAGTGCCACTGTCTAAGGAGGTGTGCGGGACAGGAAGAATGAGCAGGAAGGATGTATTCTCTGCCCCTGGAACCTTCTTCCTCATTCATTTTGGCATAAAACATGGAGCCCTATGGTAGTGGGCGTCTTACCTGAAGTCACCCATTCCCAATATTATAGCCTAGTCACAACCAAGGAACTCAGTCCCCTCTCCACTAAGATATCCATAAGGCCTCTATGCGGTTTCTTTCACTTGAGGACCTTTCCTAACCAGTTCTGAGATGTCAGGGTCAGTTATGTACCCAAGACTGTATAAGAAGAATATCATTGTCTTTTCCAGCTCAAGTGTGTTATGGTCTTAATGGTGTGTCACCCATCATTAGGGGCCATCTCAGTGGCAGCCCCATGTGCCCTTCTGCCACTGCACATGGTCTCCAAGCTCAGGACCAGGCATGGAGGTTGGGGGCAGGTGACAATGCTGGCCTGTTTGGCCCTTCTTCCTAGATGGCCCAAGGCAAACATGCATGTTCTTTTTTCCTGACCTTGGCCAACCTCGCTTCATCCATGCCTACAGGCTTAGAGATTCTCCTTGCCCACTTCCCTACTTCTGACTTTCTAGGAAGATGCTTCTCTCTTTAAATTACAAGTTCCTTGGCTCCTCATCAGCTATGTTCTGCCTGACTATTCTTCAGGTGTTCCAGACGAGTCTCTGAAATCCCTGCTGGGTCTGGGGTGCTCCTCCTGAAGGCAGAGAAGAAGCTGGTGACTCTCTCAGCCTCCTCCCCGGTGTGCCAGTGAGTGCCTCAACTGCAGAGTGCATGGGAGAAAGGATGCGGCCTGGACTCACCCAGAACAGACAACAGGGACGTGAGTGAATGCAAAATGTGGAATTAAAAACCCAGATCAAAGCTGGCATTAAAACTAGATACTAGCTCAAGCCACTGCCCAAGGAAGGTAGTTCTTCAAAAACACCATGCGCTCCTGGACATGACCCTCCCAACCTTTCTTTTGGAACTCACTACTGGGAGACCTCTCCTCATGGGACCCAGCTGCCCCTTGTTTTCCTCCTTATATAGTTCAGGACTGCTGACCAAGGAGGAAGTGCCACAATCTGGTCACATCCACATCAGCTGCGAGTGTGAGCAGCATTGAGGCTGCTCCCCTCAGAAACCACAGCTCCTCATCCACCCCACAGAATTCACAGAGCTGTCCAGCTGGGGAGGGGGGCAAGCACTAGGAGGGCAGGGTTCTCATCACTAGCTGCTGCTTCTCTGAGGGCTCCACCAGAGGGAAAAGCAGGAAGAAATCTGGGCTGTGGCACACCTTGGGAAAGAAGCAGAAAAGAAAAAAGCCAACATGCCCAGCACAGCCATGCCAGGCCCCACTGGGTCCCACACCACCAGCAGACCCTGCCTGTCTATGCTGCTGAAAGTCATAGCCATAGCCCTGAGACAGCCAGTGTCCTCTACACTCTCCTCCCTGGCCTCCTACTAACCTCCCAGAGTTCCCTGGTCCTTGTCCAAGACCAACAGATGCCTGCCTCATACATAGGACTCATACAGCTATGCCATGCCTCCTTGCCTCTCTTGCTCAGACCAAGGGCTGACAAGAAGGAGCCCGACTCAGCCCCCATCTTATATACAGGTGGGCACCTGTGGGATCTTGGAAAATCTATGCTGAGTCAGCCCTCAGTCCCATGTTCACAGTTCTCTACAGAAGGGCAGAGGTTTCATTGAGAGACTTCTCTGACAGCCATGAGTCTCACTTCCCTGGGTCTGGATCTGGGGGTTTACAGTCCCCGCAGAGGTTAGTTCTTCCCATCTTCAGGTCACCCTTCCTAAGCCCTGACATCTGTTCCACCCAGAAAAGAATGAAGCCTGCATGGTAGGGGCCCTCAGCAAGCTGAGAAGCCATTCTGACTATAAAGTGTTTCTTCTTCCTCACATTCCCCTGGCATAGCACTGTGTGCTCAGTAAGCTCCCTGGGCCTCTCCCTCAATCCCAGGTCCTCTTACATAAGAGCCACTCGGATTCATTGTGTCTATGAAATGTGTGTCTGGGGAACAGGCTAAAATGCAGATGGGGTCTGCAGTGTTGACGAGAGTGTGTCACATGGCCACACTTCTGCATAAGGAAAGGAGCAGAGAGTGAACCCGAGAAAGCATTTCTGCCCCAGCTCCATGAGAACTAAATATTCTATCACTGAAGGGCTGAGAGCTGTGTGGGGGATATAGGACCTGATACCCAGGGGCACCTACAAGGGAAACCTCTCTTCCTTTAGCTTCAGTTTGCTCCCCAGTAGAGGAGAAATTGTAAAGCAGTAGAAAACTGGGGAAGGAGGTAAATATCATGAATACCTGGTACACAGCTGGAAGATGGTTTCCTTCCTGCCTTCATTGGCCAGCACCGGGTGAAACACTGAGCTAGATTAGATGGTGGTCAGAGCGGAAAAGGCCTGATGCCTGGCTGCTGGGCTCTGAGCATGAAGTGCGCTGTTGGCGGCGGGTAAGTACTCCAGTGCCCTTGGTACCAATGTGCTGAAGCATGCACAGACCACTGCCAACTCCTGGGAAAAAAAAAACAGAGGTTGTGGCACCCAGCTGTGACACCTTTCACTGAAGAGACACTGGGTGCCCACTGAATCTGGTTTACAGGGCAGGTCAGCAGTCCAACAGAAACAAGCCATTGGAAGGCACTTAGTCAGCTTTGGCAGGAAAAGAATACTTGGACAAAGTCCTCCCCTGTACCTTTCCTGGGGTACAGGAACTCAAGCAGCTTCAGAGAAGGCCTTGTTCGCTGCCAGGGAGTGGCTAGGGCCCGAGAAAGTGCAGCTCAGCAGGTGATCCCTACAGTGTCCTCTCTAGGACTTACCTGCCTGAGCCCCCTACACTAAGCTCCAATGACGGCCAGGAGCTCAAGCTGTTCTAACGTCCCTTCAGAAAGAACCTGGCAAGTCGAGGAGCACCCAAAGGACCCTGGGTCATTCGGATCATGGTGACAAGGGCATACATCTCTGAGTGGGGAGACATTACATGTTCCCTAGAAACTGCATTCTGTTCCAGTGCATCCTAAAACAAACACATGCACACTTGCCTGCAATACATATGTGCACGCAGATATGTGTACACATGGGACCCATGATTGTACATGCACACTCTTCCCCTGTAGTCTGAGTCAGCATCTCTCTTCCCAGAGGTCTCCCCCTTGGTAACATGTCTCACAGCTATGCACCATCTGTGCTGCTTCCTTTACCTGGCAACTGAAATTAGGTCAAGGAGACAAGTTTGGTAAGGCTTGGTTTTCATGAAGGATAACTTTCCTTTTGTGGGTTTAAAAGCTGAGACTCTGAAACTGTGGAGACCCAACAAGTCGGAAGGCTACTCTGATGTGGGCTTCCCTTCTATATGCTATGAATATGTTCTAGTACCATTGGTTAATAAAGAAGTTTCTTTGGCCTATGGCAGGGCAGAATATATGTAGGCAGGAAAACTAAACTGAATGCAGGGAGAAAGAAATAGGAGTCAGGAAGATGTCATGTAGCTACAAAGGAGAAAGACACCAGAACCTTATTAGTAGGTCACAGCCTCTATGAGGCTGTGTATGGCAATACACAGAGTAATAGAAATGGGTTAATTTAAGATATAAGAGCTAGCTAGAAATACGCCTGAGCCACCGGCCAAACACTGTTTTAATTAATATAGTTTTGTATGATTATTTGGGTCTGGGTGGCCGGGAAGCGAGAAAACAGTCTCCAGTTACGCTACTCACTGTCTGAACACAGATGGAATGGGCGGGGACATATTCCAAAGGACCCACACGAGTTCTGAATGCAGATGGAACCGGGTGGTGCGTATTCAGCTGGAGGTTAGAACACAAGACTTGTTTCCAAACTCCAAAAGAAGAAAGAGGTGAAAACCCCAAGCTGGGCTGTTAGTGCTGACACCATCCTTACACTCAGGGCTTCTGACTCTGACTTTGCCACAGACCCCAAGAAGAGTTTCTGTAGTCAGTCTGTCTCCCACCACCTGGGACTCTCAATTTCGCTGTTGCTTTGAAAGAAAATAGAAAATGCTGGTGGTCCCTGCTTGGGGTGGGGGACAGTCCGCTACTGGAGGACATCCATTTTGAATTGGAGACAGCAACAGTATCCAGTCTGAGTGTCTTGCTGGCTGTTGCTTTACAAAGTGTTTTTATTTATCTGTGTGGGTGCTTTGCCTGCATGCACGCCATGCCTTGTGTGCCTGGTGCCTGCGCAGGCCTAGAGAGGTCACGGGGTGCCCTGGAACTGCAGTTAGAGACTATTACAAGTCACCACATGGGTGCTGGGAATAAAAACCATTTCTCTGAAAAGCAGCCAGAGATCCAGCCCCTCCTAATGGTTTTTATGTAATACATATGCATGGAGGCTGACACTAAATAATTATTACCTGCCAGTTACTTCATGAACAATTTATACATTATTTCATTTAATCCTTATGAAACTTAGTAACACAGGTCACAAATATAGTAACAATTATGACAAAACCAGTACTAAGCACTTGTACATAAGTACATACTTGAGCTTAGTCTGTGCAAGCTTAGGAGGAGAATATTATTAAACCCATTTTCCAGACGAGGAAGCTGAGGCTTACAGGATGGAAGGATGTCAGTTAAAAACATCCAGCTAGCAATGGTAAGACCTTCCCTCTTAGAACTACGCTCCACTGCCTCTCAAGGCACGAACAGGGCCTGGCCATCCAGGCAAAGATAAAACATAGCCCCCAGCTTCTACTCTGAGCAGCATGGCTACATCTGACAGGTAGAGTAGAGCTACCCTGGGGCCGAGGAGAGAGAACAGAGGGCAGCTAGTACAGACGATACAGTTTCTGTTTAGAGTGATACAACTGGTTTGGAAGCAGACCGTGGTGGTGGCACAGCATTTGAGCAAAATTAATGCTGTGTATGGCAAAATTTTACGTTACATATATTTTAGCAACTTAAAAACATGACCGAGGAAGTTGTGTATGGTGGCGTATGCATTTAATTCCAGTACTCTGGAGACAGAAGGAGGTGGATCTTTGTGAGTTGGAGACCAGTCTGTTCTATGCAGTGAGTTCTAGGACAGTCAGGGCTATGTAGAGAGACACTGTCTTAAAACTCTGGCAGAGAAAAACAAGTCACTGGATCCAGACATAGGACCAAATCTCCAGAGATCCTCCTGTCACACAGTCCCCTGTGGCTGAGTTCCACCTTCAGGCTCTGTAGTCAAATCCCAGCACAGAATCAGGTGGAAGGAGAGCCTTTCTCTCATCTTATGTTCCTAGTGTCACATGGTTTCCTACAGGTCCCCCTGTTCCCAGTCTGAGGTCCACAAGCCACTATGAGGCCTTATGTTCCTTCGGCATGCCTGAGCCTGGTGTGTGGGGTACACTGCCCTCAATTGAAGTCGACCCCTGTTAGCTCTACCACAGTCCACACAGGCACAAGATGGTCATCAGTCTCCATGGACCTGTTTCCCAGAGTTGTGGACACCAACAGGAAATTGGCAGCCGCAGCTTGCGTAATTAGCATGGAATGTTCTGAGGAAGGCAAGGACACGTGGGGGAGAGACAAGTCCTCCAACACGCTCTCTGTGGAAGCAGTTGTTTTTTCCTCGTTTTAGGAGACTGAAATAACAAACCGAGAGAAACCAGTCATCCTGCATAGCTTTACATGTAGGAAGCGGGCCTGCAGCAGGTGCAGAGGCTTGTGTCTCGGCAACAGCTGGCCAGGCTCCCTGTGTCCGCCATCACTCAGGCAGCTCACCACAGAGACACGGGGTGTCACATCACAGAGACCACCACAGTGCCATGCAGTACGAGATCGGCTGGGCTCTGCGGTCAGTCCAG